CCCAGCCTTAGGCCAACAGTATGCATGTCCCCTCAGGTGCCTCCCAGTGCCCCCAAACCCACCCACCTAAGGAGGTCTCAGAACACCATGACCAGCCAGGCAGAAGGCTCTCATCTCAGACCTACATCCTTCACAGCCTTAGGTCTCCGAGCTCCCTTGCCAAGTGGCACAGTCTAAGCAGGGCCTGAATGGAGCCTCTTGCAGGCCATGATTCATGGTCACAACAGTTCTAGTCTTTGTGATGAAAAAAGACAAACTGATCCCAACCCAAGTTCCCAAGAGGCCAGCCTCTAACCATTGATCCAACAGGCCCAGGATGACGATCCTGTCTGCCACACTCCAGGCCTTACCACAGGGACCATTTCACCCTTATCAGGATGGGGGAGAAGGTGGACAGGGGCTCCATGTAACACAGTTGTGCTCTCTCCTCCTCCTCTCCTAAAACACACAAAGACCAGCATTCCAGGGCAAAGACCAGGTCTCCCCAAGCAAAATGGCCCTGTGGCAGATGCCCTGTCTTCTTACTCCAAAACCTTTGCTGCTGCTTCCTTCCTTCCCTCTTCTGATATATTCAGGTCCACTCCCTGAGGGTGTGATCCACACCAATTGCATAAAGGTCAGACAGGTCCAAATGACCCATCTGACCCCACAAGGAACAAGGAGAACTAACTAACTACCACATCCCATCCCTGTCTTGGGAGTCAGGGAGGCAAACACAGGATACCCACTGGGGAGTGCTAAGAAGGATGCTGGGCCAGGCGTGGTGGCTCATGCCTGTAATCCCAGCACTTTGGGAGGCCACGGCAGGTGGGTCACCTGAGGTCAGGAGTTTGAGACCAGCCAGGCCAACATGGCGAAACCTGGTCTCTACTAAAAATATAAAAATCAGCCTGGTGTGGTGGCACACACCTGTAATCCCAGCTACTCAGGGGACTGAGGCAGGAGAATCACTTGAACCTGGGAGGCAGAGATTGCATATGAGCCGAGATTCCGCCACTGCACTCCAACTTGGGCAACAGAGTGAGACACTGTCTTTAAAAAAAAAAAAAAGGTAAAAACCAGAAAATAAATCACAGAGAAGCATCCAGGATTTCCAGACTCACAGGAACATGACGATCCATGGACAGTTCTACTGAGGGAGGGGAGATCATTAGTTTCCTTGTGTACTACCATCACATTTTGTTTTGAGAATATCCTCTTCAATTATTTGGAAGCCTCTGGTGAAATTCCTCATTTCAAAGACTGCCCCACTGACACAAGACCTTCGGAGGCTGCTGAAGCACCTACCACCCCAGCCACCACCATCACACAAAACAGGGCCCCAGAGTCACCACCACGCTAATATTGTGAGAGCTTCTATGTATCCAGAACTACATTAAGGCTTTTACAGATGGTGTCTTATCTAATCTGTACAACTCTATGATCATCATCATGACTTTTTTAGAAGTGAGGAAGTAGGATAAGTAACCTGCCTGCTGGTAAGTCACAGAACTGAGAATGAAACCCCAGTCTCCAGGTTTTTAAGCCCTGGGCCGTCCTCCCTTCCCAACAGGGCAGGGGCAGCTCCAGACAGGGCTGCCAGGGAGGAGAGCTGCAGAGCTGCAGGGCTTATCTGAGCCTGGCTTCAGGACTGCAGAGGCCTTTCAAGCCCAGCCCTAGTTCTTGAGCCTCTAGCAGCAAATAGAATGCAGAGAGCTGCAAAGGGCCAGCTCATTTCGCTGGGAACTCTCGTACTCTTCTGTGTACTCCATCACCCATGATTCTGAGGCTTTCCTAGGCTCTAAGTTCTAGACTGTCTCCCCCATCCCATAAGAAGCTCTTCCAGACATTGTTACCAAAACCTCCCTTCACCATCACTGCTCTGCACTGACCACTCACCATGTACAGGGACTGTACTAGGTGCTTAAGTTGCATTTTCATTTCATCCCTCACATCAACCCTATGAAGGTATAAATTATCTCCATTTTACAGATGTGAAAACTGAGGCACCAAGAGTTTATATGACTTGCCACAGGTGGCAGTTTTGGGACTGGGATCTGTCCAGTGCCACTCTGCAGCCCCTTCCCAACCATGAAGGTACCTTCCCCAGTCAGGTCTTCTCTTGGCAAAGGGCCACCATCTGCCCTGCCTGACACCACCGCAGCCAACTCCTGGAGTTAAGGAATAGATACTTTTCTTTTCCACCATTATCCAAAGCTGAGGAGGGTACACCCTGGTCTTCTCTGCTTTGCCCTCTCCCTACCAGGCAGCATTCAGACTCAGTCTGGGTAGCCCACAGCAGGGTGCTCCAGGAAATACCACCAGGAATGACCACTAGAGCCAGAGGTGGGGACCACAGCAGGGGTGACAGCCCTCCTTCTCTGTCAGTGGGCATTGTGTTAGGTCCAGTAAACTAGAGCACCAGGCCAACTTCACATACTTTCCTCTGCCCATCCTAAGTGACCCTCCCCACTCCTGTTCCCTCCCAGTTCTAGAAATAAACCAGGTCATAGCATCAGAGAAAACAGCCTGGTGCGTGTGGAAAGATCCTGGTGGAAAAGATTATTTCTATAAAGTAAATTAAGGCTCCCATTCAGATCAAGGGGTGGTAAGTCAAATTCTCCAAGACAGGCTGTTCTTGGCTGAAAATGGGTCCACCTGGACCTACAGGCTTGGCCAGCTCAGCTAAGGAAGATCCAGAGGCCAAGAGGAAAGCATGGGCAGGAACTGGAAAAAACAATCAAAGAAGCTGCTCCCTGCAGGCCTGGAGCCTTTTTTTGGTCTGCCTCCTCTTGTTCCCCCAGCACCCCCCGAACAGATGTGTCATCTACCAGTCTGGTCAGAGTAGCTGATTGGTGGAGGGTGAAGGACTGGGGGAAGGGGTGGGATGATTTGGGGGACAGGCACTTCCTCTGAAAAAGAATGGGCTAAGAGATCCAGGGGAGAGCTTTTTGCCCCATATACCCACCCCGTTGGGCTCCAGGAACCAGGAAGGAGGGAGAGGACAGAAAGGAGGAAAAAAACAAAACAAGGTCCAAGCTATACCACATGATTCCACACCCAGCCACCAAACAGCAAGTCATGAAGGAAGGAGGGGAGCAGGCCAGGGGATGGGGAGATAGAGTTAAGTCACAGCCACGCCTGGAACCTGCCCTGCACTAATGCCCTCCTCATCCCAGGCCACAGAGGGACAGCCAGGAAGGTCATTTCACACCCACGTTTCGGAAAACATTCAAGGTCAGATCCTTTTTACCTAAATCCTGCTTTCATTTGGGTTTGCACCAGGCTCATCCCCTTCCTCCTGCAAGCCTTCCTGGATTTATTCACTCAGTGGATGCCATTCCACCAGGGCAAACATTTGCGGCACCTCTCCTGACCTAAGGCACAGTCCTGCCCCAATCCCCTTACCCTCCTACCCAGATCACTCCCAAGTTAACCACTTGAGTGATTCACAGCAGGCTGTCAGCCCCCGGACTGGCTTCCAGCTCCTGCCCAAGCCCAAAACAGGAAATGGGGCTCCAAGGCTGAAGCCTTGATCTTAACACAGGCAAGGTTAAATGCTGCCAAAATAAATGATTAAAAAAAAACCTGGCCCACTGAGGTGGAAATGACCGGGAGATAATCTCCTGCTGTGCATTAACCATGCCGCTGCCTCCTACCTCAGGCAGGGCAGGGCAGGCAGGCCACTGGAAGGCTGACTCAAGTGTTTCCTTTCTTTGCTTAGGAGCTCCTCCTGCCCTCAGACCAGGGACACAGGACACAGAGGGACAGGATGGGGGGGGTGACATCTCTAGATAGTGGAGGGCATCTTGAGAGCCAGGCAAGAAGCAGATGCCCTCTGCAGCCAGCTTCTGCCTTTAGCGGGGTAATCAACATTCAACCTCGCCCTGGAGAAAGACACCTGGCCTTCCTTCCCCCGCAGAGCAAGTCTGTGCCTCTCCACTTCCCCGCCGGACAGGCGCCCGCAGTTCCCCTCCCCTTTGAGGAAAGGAAGGCAGGCCCGGAGGTTCTAAGAATGGCCCCAAGATTTCCCTTCTTGAGGTTTCCATAGCCCCAAAGCCTCTGAATCTCATTCCTAACTTTACTTGACAATCTACTCCCAACGTTCGCCACCACTTGAACCTCCCCCAGGCCTCTCAGGGACCACTAGCGGCGGAGCCCCACACAGCGCACGTTTGGGGAGCAGGAAGGCGACCCCGAAATGCGAAGAACCAACGTGTCTGTCGGTTTACGACCTTGAGCGCGAGGCAAGGGGCTCACCCGCCCGGCGGAAGTTCGGGGTCCTGATCCCCCACAGCCCCGCCCAGTTAGGCCTTTAGCCGTTTCTGTGCCCCCGCGCCCCCTACTCACTGCGTGTGCTGGGCGCGGCCTGCGCCGAAGACCTCGTCCAGCGCCACCGTGGCCTGGCCCAGGAACTTGTCGACGCCGATAAGCGAGCGGTGCATGGTGGTGAGCACCAGCTCGCAGGCGGCGGCGGAGCTCGCGGCCCAGGGCGCCGGGCCCGCGTCGGCCTCCTGCGCCCGCAGCAGGCCATCCAGGGCCCCGGGCGGCAGCTCGAAGGAGCACTCCTCACGCCACTCGGGGCAGCCGTGCGTCTTCTCCACCACCGACGTACTGTACTTCTCGCGGCCCACCTGGATCACAGTGTACGCGTCGCTGGTGCTGCCCGCGCCCGAGCTCTTGCCCCGCAGCCCGCGGGCCCGCAGCACGGTCACCTGGACGTGCGTGGGCAGCCAGCGGGAAGGCCCCGCCGCCGGCTCCGCGCCCCGCACCAGGGCCATGGCGGGGAAGCGGCGGGCGAGGTCTGGCCGAGCCGGTGCAGACCCCGGGACCTGGTGACAAACTCGGCCGCGGCAGAAGGCGGTCAGGAACCGACTCCAAGCGCCGCCGCAGCTGCCGGCTAGGCTGGGCCGGGCTGACCGGCCGCCGCCTCCCCGCCCCACCGGGCCGCGGGCCGCGGGCCGCGCCGCGACGTCAGCGCCCCGCCCCCTTCCCCGCCCCGCGCCCGCCGCCCCCTTCCCCGCCCCGCGCCCGCCGCCCCGACCCGCGTGGCGGTGAGACGGGGATGCGGGTACGCCGCTTGCGCCCAGGCAGCCGCAGACCCGCCCGGAGCGGGAAGGGGCGGCGCGCGCCCTCTGCAGAGGGTGGGCGGAGTTCCCGCGGTGGCCCCGCCCCTGGCTGGGGGCGCCCGAAGTAACCCGGCCTCGCCTGTGGGGAGCCCAACACCCGCGGCCAGGTACAAAAAACCCGCTCTGCGCCTCCAGGCCAATCCCACGTCTTCCTTCTAAAAGTCCCTGCTCTGGAAAGCCGTCGCCCTAAAAGGGTCCCGGCCCGCCACCCCTGGGATGGCCAGCCTCTTGGCGCGGACTTGGGGTGATAGGGACCCCCGCCGCTCCCCTAACCCTGGGCCGCGCTCTCCCCTGCTCCAGTCCGCCCCTGCCCGGGAAAATGCCAGAGTGAAACCGGAGCGATTGCCCCCCCGCCACGTGACGGTCCCGCATCGGCGACCTGGAAAGGAGTGAGCTGCCGCCGCCTCCAACCTTTCCCGGCGCAGGGGGCCGGGATGCGGCCAGGCCGCGGCGCGGGAGGCCCGAGAGCGGGGCTGACCCTCCTCAGACTCTGCGGCGGAGAGCTGAGTGATGAATAAATGAGTAACCACATCAATATTTAAGTGTTCACTCGGAGCCTTGGGGCCAGTGTGTCACGGGTTGGGGGAAATTACAGACCCTGGTGGGGGGTTAAATAACTACTTCCACCCATTATTAAGTGCCTACTATGTGCCAGGGCCTGAGTATTATGTACACTTAGTTTATTATTGATAATAACGATGTTTAGTAATTATAGATGCTGAATTTCAGCCAACTGTGGTCCGTGTGCTTTTATATGCATTACCTCATTTTATCCTCAGAGCAACTCTGTGGGGTGAGTATGGCTTTTATCCCTATTTTCCAGAAGATGAAATGTCAGCTTAGATGGGGGAGGGTTGTGAATCCACTAGATGCCCCCAGGGCCTGTTTTGTTTTGTTTTGTTTTTAACTTTCAGAGCCTGTACTTTTAAAATAATAATTTTAAAATAATACACACAGCATTTTTTAAAAAATCAAATAGGACAGAAGGGCTTGCAATGAAAAGCAAGAACTCCCTCTCCATCCTTCAAACCAGGGATACCACTTAAAGCCACTGGTGTTTTCAGGTCTGATGGTTACCTCCACATCATTACATTAAGATGCTCACATAGCTACATCTGGATTTATCAGGACTGGCCACTGTCTGTGGCCTTTCTCCTATGATAGATAGTGATTTAGCTGGCTCACACCCACTTCCATCCCTCAATCTTGTGTAGTTACGCTATTATTTTTAGTTCCTCTATAGCAGGGGTCCCCAACCCGTGGGCCACAGACTGGTAATCCTCCATGTCCCGTTAGGAACTGGGCTGCATGGTAGGAGGTGAGCGGTGGTGGGGGCTAGCTGGTGAAATTTCATCTGAATTTACAGCCGCTTCCTATCGCATTACTGCCTGAGCTCCACCTCCTGTCAGATCAGCCGTGGCATTAGATTGTCCTGGGAGCACAAACCCTACTGTGAACTGTGCATGCCAGGGATCTAGGTTGCAGACTTCTTATGAGAATCTAATGCCTGATGATCTGTCACTGTCTCCCATCCCCAGATGGGACCATCTGGTTGCAGGAAAACAAGCTCAGGGCTCCCACTGATTCTACATTATGGTGAGTTGTATAATTACTTCATTATATATTGCAATGTAATGATAAGAGAAATAAAGTGCACAGTAAATGTAATGCACTTGAATCATCCTGAAACCATCCCTGCCACCCTCAGTCTGTGGAAACTTACATTTTGGTCCCTGGTGCCAAAAAGGTTGGGAACCACTGCTCTATAGGATACCTAACAGGAGAAACATGTATTTCTTCTTAGGGAGACTCCACAGTACCCCTCGACTGTCCACCTTTCAGGCTATGTCCTGTACTGGAAATATGAACCTAGGAAACCAGTAGAGTAGGCAGAGGAGACCCATGAGAGCACACCCAGCACAGGCCCAGTACTCACAGCCTCCCACTTTAACTCTTTCATCAGAAGACTAGGGTGGGGAAGTCCTAGGCACCAGCCCCATGGTCCAGCATCCCTGACGGTAGTACCTAGCTTTAAAGACAGCCAGATCTGCCTACAGATCTTGGCTGTCTGCCTCTTAGTAGCTATGAAACCCAAAGTTTAAGCCAACTCTCTAACCTCTCTTGGCCTTATTTCTTCATCTGGATAATGGGGATAATGATTCTTACCTCAAGCCAGGTGGGATAGCTCATACCTGTAATCCCAGCACTTTGGGAAGCCGAGGCTGGTGGATCACTTGAAGCCAGGAGTTCAAGACCAGCCTGGGCAACATGGTGAAACCCCACCTCTACTAAAAAGACAAAAAACTACCCGGGTGTGGTGGCAGGTGCCTGTAGTCCCAGCTACTCGGGAGGCTGAGGCACAAGGATCACTTGAACCTGGGAGGTAGAGGTTGCAGTGAGCCCAGATTGTGCTGCTATACTCCAGCCTGGGCTACAGAATGAGACTGTCTCAAAAAATTAAAAAATGGGGCCAGGCGCAGTGGCTCATGCCTGTAATCCCAGCACTTTGGGAGGCCGAGGCGGAAGGATCACTTGAGGTCAGGAGTTTGAGACCAGCCTGACCAACATAGTGAAACCCCGTCTCTTCTGAATATATGAAAATTAGCCAGGCATGGTGGGGCACACCTGTAATCCCAGCTACTCAGGAGGCTGAGACACAAGAATCACTTGAACCTGGGAGGCAGAGGTTGCAGTGAGCCAAGATCGCACCACTGCACTCCAGCCTGTGCAACAGAGTGAGACTCTGTCTCAAAAAAAGAAAGAAAAAAATGAAAATAAATCATAACCCAACCATCCATAAATAAACACTGTTAATAATTTGTTGTGTTTCTTTCTAGTCTTTACACTATATGTGTTTGTTTTATATACATTATGGTTTTTGAGACATCTAAAGTATAATTATTAACTCTGTGGACTTTGGAGTCCTGGTTCTACCATTTACTTTATATATATTATCACTCTTGGCTATAAGTCTGTATACTAAAGAAAAATTATATACATATAATACACACATACACACACACACACACACACACACACACAATCATGTTTAACCCTGAAGATAACCATTTAAAGCAAGTGCTATTGCTACCCTTGGTTTCACTGATGAGGAAACAGAAGCAGAAAGAGCTTGGGTGATTTTCCCCAAGTCTCTAATCGGAAAATTGCAGAGACTGAGTGGCTTTACTGCCTGTGGCACTCTGCTCTCACACCAGCTTGTTGGTTTTCCAAGCACTAGATCCATTTAAAGTCAATAAAGTAGGAAGTGTTCTCACATCCATTTTACAGATGAAGCTTGAGGTAACCAAGGTTACAAGAGTCAGGATGAACCCCCTACTTTAAGAGTGAATTCTTCAAGGACTTTGCATGTGACAATATCATCACTAAACTTCAACTAACATAAATGGGTCACTCCTTTAGCGGTTCTGTTTCATCTGTTTGCCTGTTCTCCAACGTGACTGCTCCCACTTCCTCCCTCCCTCCTCCTCTGCCAAGGAGGAGCAAAGCACCGGGAAAGGGGGAAAGGGCGGGGAGAACTCAGATGGCTCCTCTGCCTCACCTGCCCTCTGACTCTCTTTCCTCCTGCCTTGGCCCTCACAGATTGGCAAGCTCAAGCTTCCTGCTGGCTCTGGACTGTGGCTGGCTATAGAAGGGGAACAAAACTAGCCAGGGCTCCTACCCTACATTGCCTGGCCCTAGAAGGAAAAGCCAGGTCTGCTAGCTGTCTGTGGTTGAGAAAACAGCAGAAACAGAAAACAGCGAAAACAGATACTGAGGTCTTGGCCATCTAAAGGTGTGTTTCGTCCTCTAGAAGATGAGATCCCCCCCCTCCCTGCAGCAGCCTGCATAAGTGTTAGACAACGAGACCCCAAAAGCATCAGTTTCCTCTGGCTCCCCAGGGCTGGGTGTCCTCACCACCTTCCTGGGCCTCTCTAGTCCATTGGAGACAGTTCTCGCTTGAAAAGCATCCACATATGTGTAACTTCCACTCATTGCTCCCTCTTCAGTACCACTAAGCCCGTTGGCTTTTCCATGTAGACACTTCACATGTATTTGTCCTGCTCTTCCAGCTACATTTCCATCTGTTCTTTACCTCACCTTCCTGCAGTATTTTCCAGGCCCTCTTTATAGCAGAACCACATGCCCAGGTCTAAGTCCTGGTGCCACCACTTACTAACTGTATAAGCATGGGCAAATTACTGAACCCTACTGAGTCTGTTTCCGCCTCTGTAAAATGGGCCTGCTAATAAGAAATTACTTCATAGGGTTGGCACGAGAGCTATCTCAACACACCCTAAGCAGTAATGAGCATGAATTATCATCTTAGAAATCTTTGCTGAAGGCAAAAGCTTGTGCCTCCTTGTTGTTTCATTTGCATTTCTTTGATTGCCAGTGAGATTGAACTTCTTTTCAGTTATTAGTCATTTGTATTTCCTCCTTTAATGAATTATCTATTTTCTGAATTGCCTATTTTCTATGCTTATTTTTCTTTGAAGCCTTAATTTCTTATTAATTATTTGTACAAATACTTTATATGTTAAGAATAGTAACATGGCCAGGCACAGTGACTCATGCCTGTAATCCCAGCACTTTGAGGGGCTGAGGAGGGAGGATTGCTTGAGTCCAGGAGTTTGAGATCAGCCTGACCAACATGGTGAACCCCTATCTCTAAAAAAAAATACAAAAATTAGCTGAGTGTGGTGGCACATGCCTCCTGAGGTGGGAGGATCACCTGAGCTTAGGAAGTCGAGGTTGCAATAAACTGTGATCACGTCACCGCACCTCAGCCTGGGCATCGGAATGAGGCCCTGTCTCAAAAGAAAAAGAAGAAGGCCGGGCACAGTGGCTCACGCCTGTAATCCCAGCACATTGGGAGGCCAAGGCGGGCGGATCATGAGGTCAGGAGATCGAGACCATCCTGGCTAACACAGTATAACCCCATCTCTACTAAAAATACACAAAATTAGCCGGGCGTGGTGGTGGGCGCCTGTAGTCCCAGCTACTCGGGAGGCTGCGGCAGGAAAATGGTGTGAACCCGGGAGGTGGAACTTGCAGTGAGCCGAGATCGCACCACTGCGCTCCAGCCTGGGAGACAGCAAGGCTCCATCTCAAAAAGAGAAAAGAAAAAGAAAAAGAATAGTAACACTTTGTTGTTTATATTTACTGCAGATATTTTTTAATTTAATTTTTTTTTTTTTTGAGACGGAGTCTTGCTCTGACACCCAGGCTGGAGTGCAGTGGCACGATCTCAGCTCACTGCGACCTTCACCTCCGGGGTTCAAGTGATTCTCCTGCCTCAACCTCCCCCAGTAGCTAAGACTATAGGTGCATGCCACCATGTCTGGCTGATTTTTGTATTTTTAGTAGAAACAGGGTTTTGCCATGTTGGTTAGGCTGGTCTCAACCTACTGACCTCAGGTGATCCACCCCCCTCAGACTACCAGAGTGTTGGGATTACAGGTTTTAGCCCCTGCTCCCGGCCTAGATATGTTTTTGATATAAGACATTAGGTAGGCTGAGTGCAGTGGCTC